CACTCTCCCACTTTGGTCTAACCCTCTCCTTTCAGCAACTACACGACTTATGTTTCTCACACTTGGACTTCTAGAAATTTAACCACCGCAAGACACCTACCACATGTCCTTCCTCATCTTTCACTACCCAGTTGTTGCCTTAAATCTAAAATTCATCTCTGTAGCACCTTAACCAACAGATCGCCACCAACTCTAAACCTCCCTGAAGATCATCTTCCTTGAGCCATCAACATTAGGATTTATCGATTCGATTCTGAACCGCTGCACACTGCGACCTCTGACAGCCGTTTCCCGGGCACCATTCACAATACTCTGTCCCAAAGGCGATTTGAAGAAGGCCATAACACCAGCGAACTTAACACATTCAATCAAGGGCGACGACACCACATCACAGATGAAGATTCCACCATGCTAAAAAATACCAAGTCTCGTTACTCCATCAACCCAAACCTGAACATTCTTAGTCTGATTGCCTTTCCTCCACTAGAAATAAAACACTGAACCTATGAATCATGCATTGAGAAAAACCTCCTTTCAAATCATTCACTGTCCCGACACATAGAAAAGTATCCTACCATTACATCAGTATTATGCGATAACAACTCATGAATATCATAACAATTGGTGCATAGCCCCAAAACCATCAGAAATACAGCTACTGAGTTGAGATGACCGAACATCCTTTCGCAAGGCGGCGACATTAGCCCAATCGAATATGCAGGGAGAAACATCCTGCACTACATCTGTAGTGGAATTAAAATTCCTCGATTCCAAATTTATAACAAACACTTCATGTCGCATAAGATTGAATATGAAGGGAATGAAGGCATAAGCCTCAAAGGAATCAAATCGCACGATGAGGAACCAAGAAGGGACGTGCTCTTAACAGTCATGTAGCCTCTCGAAGATAGGTACAGACATCTTTGTACTGATCCGCAAGACTCTACTAGACTCGCTCATGACTCGTGAGACTTAAGTGAACCTAGTACTTTTATACCATGTTGTCACGATCCAAAATCCATTAAAGGTTGTGATGGCGCCTAACACCGCTGTCAGGCAACCCAACAATCTATTCACGTCGCATAAGATTGAATAGGAAGGGAATGAAGGCATAAGCCTCAAAGGAATCAAATCGTACGATGAGGAACCAAGAAGGGAAGTGCTCCTAATAGTCATGTAGCCTCTCGAAGATAGGTACAGACGTCTTTGTACTGATCTGCAAGACTCTACTAGACTCGCTCATGACTCGTGAGACTTAAGTGAACCTAGTACTTTTATACCATGTTGTCACGACCCAAAATCCATTAAAGGTTGTGATGGTGCCTAACACCGCTGTCAAGGAACCCAACAATAATTGATTAACTTAATTACTCATTTTTAGTATTTTTGAAATCATAATTTCCTTCAATTAAATAATAAGAGATAAAATTTACTGAGTAAATGGAAATGTTTTCACAACTACAATACTGAACAACCTGTAAGTACCCCCAAAACCCGATGTCAGTTAACAATTTCCCGAATCTTATTTTCATCATTTAACAATTTATATCTCAAGCCAATGAAGCAATGTCAAGTATTATTAGTTCCAAAGAGTTATCACGCACAGTGTTTTAAAAGGCGTGGGCGTAAGGCGGGGCATTTTACATATGCCTCATCGGGGCGTAAGCCCTGAGGCGCGGGGCGTAAGTNAAAAAGGATGATTAACCTGCAATTTGAACTTTGGATTTGCTGCTATGAAGAAAAATGTAGTTCTTTTTGTATTTGTAAAAAAATTTAAATATTCGTTACTTTTGGGAGATATTACCAGACTAGCGGACAAGATAAAAAATAGGAAAAATCATGAATTAGAGCTTAAATCAATAAAAAAAGGTCTTTACTTTTAAATTTAATACTTTTGAGTTCCTTTTTAAACCTTTTGAGTAATTACCAAACTTAATTTTGAAAATTTGGGTATTATATGAAGGACTAATTCAACAAATTTTATTTTAATTTGAAAAAGTCTCTAGGGATTACTTCTTACTAAAACAATGCGCCACGAACGCCCGGGCGTACGCCTCTTGAGACTTTCGCCCCACACCATCGCCCCAGGGCATTTTTGGTACGCCTCGCCCCGGGGCTCGCCCCAGAAATGCCTGAGTCGTACGGCCTGATCCAACATTCACACGCAAGTGATGCCAAAGTAGTACGACCCGATCCAACATAAATATTTAAATTGTGCACTACCGAGGATCGAACGCGCGTGAACCATAGATGCATCTATTAACCTGCCGAGGCGAATGGCCCGCTCCCACGAGAGTAGTGGAAATTTACGCCGCTCGCGGAATATAGTTGTGACGCTGTTGAACATAGATTTCTCAAGTTATTATATTATTCCTCAATTCTTTTCAAAATACGAAAATCAAATGAAAACTTTCAAATTTCAAAATCCTCAATTTCAACTCCTTTTAAGGCAATTAATAAGCATACTCAGATCTCAACTCTTTCAACGTAAATAATAAACATAATTAAATAACGGTATCAACAATACATGGTGTAAACCTAAAACTACCCAGACATAGGCATAATTAGTAGCTACGCAGACTCTCGTCACCTCGTGCGTACGTAGCCCTCGCAAATAAAAGCACACAAGAATTCAATTCACCTATGGGGTTAATTTTCCTCTTACAAGGTTAGAAAAGAGACTTGCCTCGCTCCGAAATTCCAAAAACGGCTCCAAAGCCTTCCCAACAACTCAAGTCGATGCCCATCGCTCCAAAATTAGTCAATAAATATTCAAATCCATGAATATATACTCAGATACTCATTATAATTCAATTTACAATAATTTCCAACTCCGCTCGAAAAGTTGATAAAAATCACCATCGGGCCCACATGCCCGGATTCCAAATATTTTTGAAGATAAACATTACCCATAGCCTCACGAACTCAAATATAGAGTTTATTCTCAATTCCATGTCAAAAATCGTTGTCAAAATCCAAAAATACCTATTTTTAGGTTTTCCACCAAAATCCCAAGTTTCTACAAAATTTCATGAATTTCCATGCTAAAATCTATGTATAATCCAAGTATTTAACTCAAAATATACGGGAATCGGTTACCTCTTTGATGTTGATGGAACCCCTCTCAAGATGCTCTCAAATATCGCCTAAGTCCAAGTGGAAAATGAGGGAAATGAGTTAAGTCCCGTAATAAAAGCCCTTGCTCTAGTCGCAGACGTCATATTTACGACATCTGGTTCGCAAATACGATGGTCGCAATTGCGACAAAAGCATCGCAAATGCGAAGGAGAGCCACCCCTGCCAAGGTCGTATTTGCGACCAAAATCTTCGCAAATACGAAGAGGACAAATTCGCAAAAGTGATAAAAATGTTCGCAAATGCCAACCCCTAAGAAATTTCCCACCTTCGCAAATGCGAACTCCTTCCTCACAAATGCAAGTTCACAAATCCGATCAAAACCTCGCATTTGCGAAACCTCAGCCCGGACCCAAAAACCAGCAGAACCAACAATAGTTTTTCATCCAAAATTGATTCGAAACTATGCTGGAACACAACCGAGCCCCCCGGGACCCCGTCCAATCACATCAACTTGTCCCAAAACATGACACGAACTTTCTCAAGGCCTCAAATCATGTCAAACAACGTCGAAATCACGAGTCATACCCTAATTCAAGCTTAATCAACTTTAGAACTTCAAACTTCTACATTCGATGCAGAAACCTACCAAATCACATTCGATTGACTCAAATCTTGCACACAAAGTCACATTTGGCATTACGGACCTACTCCAACTTCTGTAATCGGAATCCGACCCCAATATTAAAAAGTCCACTCCCGGTAAAATTTCTCAAAATAATTCAAATTTCCAACTTTCGCCAAATGACCCCAAAATGACCTATGGACCTCCAATCCACCTCCGGACGCGCTCCTAAGACCAGAATCACCATACGGAGCCATTCCCATGCTCGGAATCCCAAACGTATGTCGATAACATTGAAATACACTTCAACTCAAATTCATGAAATTCTTTCAAAATGCCAACCTTCCACAATATGCGCCGAAACGCTCTGGGGTCGTCCAAAACCGGATCCGGATATACGCCCAAGTACAAAATCATCATACAAACCTATTGGTACCTTCAAATCCCGATTCCGAGGTCGTTTACTCATAATCAACCCTTAGCCAATTCCTCCAACTTAAAGCTTTCGAAATTAGAATTTTCTCTCCAAATCAACTCCGAACTTCTCAGATTTCAATTCCGACCACACGTATAAGTAATAATACCTTAAGTGAAGCTACTCATGGCCTCAAACCGCCGAATAACGCGCTAGAGCCTAAAACGACCGGTCAGGTCATTACAGTTCATATAGTTTGTTAGTCACCAAAGTGGCCAAACTAGTATGTATAAGAAATTACGCGTGAATAAAATTGTAGTTTACCATATAATTGAAAATAAATGGATAAATTAATTTTGACTATTGCTAGAACTTAAGGATTTATCCAAAGTTGGATCAATTTTCTATGAATGGTGAATAAGATAAGGTAAATTAATATTCTTAGTCAAATATGTATTGTCTGTCCAAAGATGTCATATATGTTTGGTTAAAAATATTTAATTACCTATTAAAGGATAAATGTCATTTAAATTATGATAGTGTATCGTAGTATTTACCCAAAGGAGAACTGCGATATGCTTTAATTGTTTTACTGAATCCATATTGATTTGTGAGCATGTATTATCTATTTTGCAACTATTCCTCTTTATTCACATGCTTCGTCTGTTACTGTGTTCAACAGATTGAACTTCTCTGAATGGCATGAACAAGTCCCGTTCCACTTAGGTATAATGGATCTTGACTTGGCTCTGCTGAATGATAAGCCCGCTGCTATTACTGATACGAGCAGTGCGGATGAGAAAGACTAATTGTACCTTTCTTTTCGAACTAAGCACTAATTACTGATACAAAAGCACTAACGGGCTGAGCTTTATGTTTATGCGAATGAGTATTGCCAACAACATTAAGAGTACTATTCCACAAACAGAAAGTGCCAGGGAATACCTGAAGTTTGTGGAAGAACGTTTTTGTTCTGCAAATAAGTCTCTCGCTGGTACACTAATGGCTGAACTCACGACCATGAAGTTTGATGGGTCGTGTAGTATGCAAAATCATATCATTGAGATGACTAACATTGCAGCAAGACTTCAGACCTTGGGGATGAAAGTTGATGACTCCGTCTTGGTTCAGTTTATTCTGAACTCATTGCCTCCTGAGTATGGACCTTTTCAAGTTAACTATAACACTATTAAGGATAAGTGGAATGTTAGTGAATTGTCTAGTATGCTTACTCAGGAGGAGTCAAGACATCTTAATATGTTGTAATTGATGTTGATTAGACTCGAAGTGGTTAAGAAATAAGGGAGTCATTCAATTAACCTCATGGGTCAAGGAGTTGGTAAAGGACTTAAAGTGAAGGCCAACAAGTTCAAGAAGAAGAAAGCACCTGCTAAAGCTCCACAGGATGCTAACAAGGAATATAAGGCAGATATGTGTCGTTTATGTAACAAGGAAGGACACTATCAGAAAGATTGCCTGAAACGTAAGGCTTGGTTCGAAAAGAAAGGTACAATTAGTGTTTTTATATGTTTCGAATTAAATTTAGGAGAAGTTCCTAATAATACTTGGTGTCTTGATTCTTGTGCAACTACTCATGTATCTACTACATTGCAGGGATTCCTTACGATCCAAACTACAAATCCAAATAAGGATTTCTTGTTCATGGGAAATCGTATGAAGGCTCCAATTGAAGGAATAAGGACTTATCGTTTGATCATGGAGACTGGATGTTACCTTAATCTATTACAGACTTATCATTTGATCATGTTAAAGATCCGGGTATGAATTAAGTTTATGTTTACATGTCACCTTGTCCACTCCCCCAACACATAATTTTTCATGGCCTCCCCCAGAAACCTTGATGCAATACACCATTCAGACCATCTTGATCCTTTAGCAATGAAACTAGATGCTCCAGTTCAAACTTCTTTACAATCTTCCTTCTTAATTATCCTTCTAACACCTTCATCATGTGACCTACTTCCACCAAATACTCCACATATTCTGCTTAGATATTGACTTGAATGGTGAAATGGATAACCCATTTGATACAGAAAATTTCATTCCCCTCATATCTCATGACAAAGCTCGTTTGTACACCAATTGTAAGAACTCCATTATAATTAAACTATTCAGCAAATCCGTTGGACACCAATTGATTAAAACAAAACTCCAAAGTTTTTGGAGATCTTTGGAACCAATCAACCTTATTGATCTCGGACATGCTTTCTTCCTCATTAAATTTACACATGAAGATAATATGCTCCATGTTCTTCATGACGATCCCTGGTTTATCCTTGGTCATTTCCTTATGGTACGTATGTGGGAACCAAAATTTGTTGTCTCCTCTGCCCAACTAGCTTACTCTGCCATTCAGGCTCGTCTCCCAGAACTACCTACAGAATATTACGATGGTCATCTCCTAAAACTAGTGGAAAATAAACTAGAGTAACTACTACAAATCAACGCATGCACCTCATCCACTATAAGAGGCCGATATGCTCGTATTTGTATTGAAGTTTCCCTCGAAAATCCACTAAAAACACATGTCTACATTGGTAATCATAAGCAACTAGTTATGTATGAGGGGCTAAATATCCTTTGTATCCGTTGTTGGCATTTTGGTCACAACACCAAGGCTTATATGTTCCATGCTCTACCTATAGAACCAACTACTCTTCCTTCACCTACATCACACTAAACGACCTACTCTACTATTCCCAGCAACCTGGCCAGCACCTCTGAAACCCCATGAAAAACAATAAAATTTCCGTCCAAACATCAAGTACACACGGGTAAAACTAGTCCTCAACATCACCAACCTCCTCAACATGTAACTATGCAGAAGCGTTTAAAATCTCCTCTCCTCAACCAAGGGACAACCATTGCAACTTTGGAGGTACTCCAAGTTAGTTCAGGTAAGTCTTCATACCCTACTTCTCCCACAAAAGATACTTCTAACCCCCACTTATTTAATCCTAATAACCTATCATTACTTAACTCTATAGATGAAATTCCAGCAATAAATTAACTAAATAATTTATCTATTACCCCCTCTAAAAATAATTCCGTAAAAAGTCCAAGTTAATTAATAATACAAACCCGACACCCCCAAAACAAACTATTAAAACTTCCTCCTCCTATTAATACCTCAACTACACTACCAGCCCACTCCACCACTAATGGGACGACCCAAGATGCCAATTCACATCATAATTCATTAATTCAAGGACCTACCCTATTGACGTCTACCCCACACCAAGACCAACATGGTACCAACCCATCTTCTCCTCCACCGCCAGACGCCAACCCAACAACTATCTCCACACCACCGGCCACAAAACCAATTTCCATTCTCCACGTCCTACACAACCAACACAAATTCCTTTACCATTAAAGTGCAAAACTTTTTTACTAACTCACCTACACTTGTCACACCCCCTACCCCAACATCACCCCCTCCTAGTCCAATTAATTCCCACGTCACCCCTCCACCATCCTATAAACAAGACCAGACCACCTTAAATTCCTCTCCAACAGAAAATTTGGTTCAATTAAATAATACTCCTATATATCAATTAATCAATTATAATACTTTCACCTCCCAACTAAAAAATCCCCATGTAACGTACTCCTCTCCTTCAACCCCTCTAACTAATTCAACATCCACAGTACCTACTTCTACTACTTCACCTCCCTTAAACTCATATGTACCCTCTTCTTGTCATTGACCATCACCACCCACCTTATCCTCTACCCCCATACCCGACCCTATACGTCACTCAGAGCACCTCGGTCCTTCCTCCACAGTCATGGCTGGAACAAGGTCTTTCCGGTCAATCCCTTTTGTTTCGTCTCACCATCAACGACCAAGAGATCATTGTAGTTCTATAGAACTCCTCCTACCTAACACTAGTAGTATCGGAAGGTATGTGACTAAGCATGGATGCATTTGGTCAGTCCCACTAGTCGATGAATGCTCTACCACACACTCTCTACTCTCTATTTTGGAAATCTCTTTCTACCGCCCCCATCTACTAGGGTCGATTTTCATCCCTTAGAACACCAAACATACACTATCCTTCCCGATAGACCTAATGATGCCTCCTCACAGTCCTCTGAGCACTCTCTTTACCCTCCCAGTCCGATCATTACCATTGCCTCTATAACTCGATACCACATCCCAACAACAAGACCTAGCAGCTACACTATTAGAAATGAGAGAGACGAGAACCTCTCATGCAACTCTAGATGACTTTTGCAGCTTCGTATTAAAGGAGCATTGCGCAAAAAATACGTCTCAAATGCCCATCCACTCTCCAAAAGTGTTCCCTCACTATTCAACCAACTCTAAATCTAGAAATAGAAAAATATACCATAGTGCTAATCCCAACATTATAGCAAGTGACCTCTCCACCTCTGGACACCCAGCTTGGATTAGTTCCTAGGGACACGAACTCAGTTCCCCCTAACCTACATGCAGAATTATCCCATACTTCCCTAGATATGAATTTTATGCTCTGGAATTGTTGTGGTGCTCATAATAATGACTTTCGTCGTAACTTTCGTTCATTACTAGATTACCATGCTCCGGCTTTAATAATTTTATTTGAAACACACATGCAAAACCATGATATCTTACGTGATGATTTTGGCTTTACCAGCCTCTATGAGGTTTTTGCTAATGGTCAAGTGGGTGGTATTGTCATGTTGTGGCATGCCATTTAATGAGTATTGAAAATGTAGCTATGATGGAGCATGAGATACATGTCATAATTCAGTTACTCCCTAACCCATAAAAATGGCTTTTCTGTTATTTATGCTAGTCCTTATTATGTTAATCGCAAATTATTATGGCAAAATCGTATGTGTCTTTTTTTATTATTATAAGGGTCCCTGGATTATTGGGGGCAACTTCAATGAAATATTTCACTCTACCGACAAATTTGGCAGTCGTTCTGTAAATAACTCTCGATCAAATCAATTTGCGGACAGTATAGATTACTGTAATTTATTTGACCTTGGTTACAAAGGTAGTAAATTGATATGGACCAATAAAAGACGCTATGACTACCATATTTTAGAATGGTTGGATAGACTCTTTGCAAATTATGAATGACTTTCTTTATTTCATGAGTCTACCGTGTGTCATTTACCACGTACACACTCAGACCACACTCCCCTGTTACTTACATGTCAAACACCACACAGTAATAAATCCAACATTTTTCGTTTTGAAACTATTTGGACGTCACATCCCGACTTTATCCATATACTCCGTGATGGTTGGCATCCTTCTCCATCCTTCCTAGAAGCCATCGAACACTTTCAACACAATATACAATATTGGAATAAAACATCACTTGGCAACATATCTCATCGAAAAAACCCTTACTTGCTAGATTAGGAGGTATCCAGTCCTCCCCAAACTTTCCCACTAGTCATTTTTTACAAGACTTGGAAGATTCCTTTTTAAAAGAATACAATGATGTACTTCGTTTAGAAGACGAATTTTGAAAACTTAAATCACGTGTTCAATAGCTGCAAGAAGGGGATGCAAATACCAAATTTTTCACCTATCTACTTTACAACATCGTAGACGGAACAGTATTACTGCCTTAAAGGATCAAGTGGGTAATTGGTACTTTGAGGATACTCAAATACAAGACATAATCTTTAACTATTTCAACACGCTTTATACCACTAACTCTCCTCAATCCCGATTACACCTCACCCCACAAAGCTCCTCCCTTATCACGCCCACAGAAAGCTCCACTCTCCTCAGATCTGTAACTGATTCCGAAATCATATCAGTTGTCAGGTTCTTTAAACCTTTTAAGACACCTGAAAAAGATGGTCTACATCCATTTTTTATCATCATTTTTGGTCAAATGTGGAACCTAAAGTGACCATCTTACGTAAGCAAATCTTTATAGATTATGAAATTCCAACCACTATCGATAAAACTTACCTTTGCCTAATTTTAAAAGTGTGTCAGGCCTCCATGATTTCTCAATTTTGACCTATTAGTCTTTGTTCTACTATCTATAATATTATCACGAAAATCATCGTTCAGTGGATTAAACCCCTCATGGCAAATATTATCAGCCCTAACAATTCCAACTTCCAACAAAATAGTAGAGCGGCGGATAACGCCATTATCGTGCAAGAAATACTCTCACACTTTAAGCGCAAATCGGGAAAGACTAGTTACATGCTTCTTAAACTTGATCTATAAAGCCTTTGACCGAATCGAATGGTATTTT